TTACGGTAAATGGAGTAGAATATTTTGATTTTTATATTTCCAGTGGTATACTGGGACCAGGGCTTACTCAGCAGTAATTATATCAGCTGCAAAATGTTTTCTAGGTTTGCGGCTGAGTTCCAAAACTTCATCCGACCTGTTAATGTTACCTGCTGTTGTGGATTTTAAAGGTAAAATCTGAGGTTTTCGTAATCTGAAAAATGAACCTCTGACAATTGGTTTCTCCAGCTCTAATGTCTCAGACATCAGTTTTTTTTCCCCAAACCAAGGGGGTATAAGGGAAAATGAAAAGAAAAAAGGTTTGGTTTGCAGAGAGGATAATCAGATCTGACCTTCTCTGCAGACACCACACATCCTGGATATAAAGCTGTCAAATCATTTTTTGTATATTTACCTGATCTACCGCTGAAAACTTCCCCAAATCATCTCTTCTGCACAGCTTCAAGTAACACCAGAGATTTATTTGTAAAGCTTAGTTCTGAACTCTAGGCTAGCCATTCCACATTCTTAGCCGATAATAATCCAAGCCTGAATTATATCTTGGTAGGGAAAGTGTTTTAGCTAGCAACCATTTTACTTAGCGTTGCCTATGGTGAATACAGGATGCTGTTATTGCACATAGAATACAAATAATACTTAGAAGAAACTCTTGTAACTTACTTGGTTTTGCTGGCAGCCTTTTAACTACCTCGCTGTCCATTTTCCATATGATTTATTCATTAAATATGAAATAAACATCAGTTTTCTTTAATGTTATTATTCCGTTATATTTTCTCCTAGATTTTATGGCTGTGTCCACTGAACCATCATGCTTAGAGAGTCTAAAATGTGAGATTAGATTGTTCTTTTTTCCTGACTACATTTGATGAATAAAATCCTTTTGATCCTTGGAAACATCCCTGCAAACTATGTATTTTTCTAAAGGAAGCAAAAATCTGTAGACGTCATCTTTACTTCCAGCTCATCAAATTCGCCACAACTGATTGGAAATTGGGCTTACTGACTGCAGCCTACTTATGCCTAACACTTTGTTCTCCCTCTTCTTTGCAGCATGCCTCTCTGTCGGCCAGCCGCTCAGATAAAGGTACCGGCTGGTCAAGCCGCTCGCTCGGCGCCCGCTGTCGAAACTCCATCGCTCTGTGTTCAGATGAGCTGCCACACATCGGGAACTACCGGCTGCTCAAAACCATCGGCAAGGGCAACTTTGCCAAAGTCAAGCTGGCCCGGCACTTACTGACGGGCAGAGAGGTGAGCCAGAAAGTATCCAAAAGCTGTGTTGTTCTGGTGTAAGCTGGGAAAGTATGTTAGCCACGAGTTCGATAACCGCTGGAGGTAGCCTCCGAGGGTTTGGGCTTAGAGACCTGCAGCAGCATTGAGGCTTTGAACCCTTTGAAGAAATTCCTGTTCATGTCCTTTTAAACAGACATCTTTATTCTCAAACAAAACACTGACCTATATTGGTTGAGCTGATGTCTGGAGGCTCAGGAAACACTGCACGGCTCGATCATGTGAAAAGCTGCAGTGTTCGACCCAAATAAAGCTGAAGTCAGTCATATATTCATGATTTTTACAGGGAATGATGCAGCTTTGACCGGGTCACCGCATTTTGTTAAACCTCTTACAGGGACTTCTTGGGTTATTTTTACAGCTCAGTGTATGTGCTGTAAAACAATATATTTTGAACTTTATCCTCCTATTATTTTTTTTTTTTTTTTTTGAGTAGTTTTCTTTGAGCACCAAATAATCTTTGTATGGCTTGTTACAGTATTTGGTACTAAAAGTTAGTCACCTTGTAATGTAAGCATAATCCAAAAACTTTATGTTGCATTATAAAACTGGCAGTGACTAAAAGCATCATGCAGAACTTTAAATAAACATACCACAATATTTTAAAAGTTATAGAAATTTTTATTTACAGATGCACTCATTTTAAGATGCACTCTCTTGTAAACCACTTTTCTGTCTTCATACTTTGAAAAATAACAAAATAAAGGCTGTAGAGCCTAAAAAAATTCTTTAAAAAAAAAAATCAGTCTTCGGTCTGAGAAATAAGGCTGTAATAGGATTTTTATGTATTTCCCATTTTTTCTGTTCTTTTTTTAATACTCTGTTTATGTCACCTCTTATCAGGTTGCGATCAAGATCATCGATAAAACCCAACTTAACCCAACCAGCCTACAGAAGGTGAGTGATATATTATCCTGTGCTACTACTGTCATGTCTGATTTTGTTCCTTTTATTTCAGAGGCTTTTTTTTTTTAATTAAATTCTCCTTTAATGTAGAATTTCTATCGTTACATGCATTTTGCAAAAATACGGTGTAAAAAAATTACTAAGAAACAAGTGCTTTTCTCTAGCGAAAAGCTACTCAGACTACATGAAATGATCTAATCATGCAGCAAGATTTAACATACTTAACAAGATTTCTTGATTTAAGATTTTTGAATAAAAAAATAAGCACAGACTACACTTAAAATTAGAAAAGATGTCCTAAAACAGGTAAAAATATTATTTAACACTTGTAAATGTATACTTTTTTATCTTGATAAGAACAAATTAATTTGCCATTTAGGCTGCTTCTGCTCTAATTAGAGTTGAGCTTATTTTGACGTGAACGTTTTTTATTAGAAACCATTATATACTTAATTGCAGTAGCATCCAGCTCTTTTGAACACTTCCTAAAAGTATTACCAAAGTGCTAAAAATATAAAAAAGAAATGCATATATATTCTGGAGATATTTATTTTTGATCATGCTGTGGATCATTTCATTAAACAATAGATGTTAACTATAAAAATAACTACTAAGGTGTTTTGATCAAATTTCTACATTTACAGATCTAATTCATTAGAGGTAGCCTTTTTTTTTTAGAGTTGTCTTCTATATTTTGGGTCTAGAGAATTAGTTTAATGTAAACAGCATATTTACAGCAAGATATATTGGTCAATCTTTCTGCAGAAACTCTCTATTAAGCCAAGTTTATGGAACATATGCAACATAATCTGCTTTGGAGTAAAGATCTGGCTTCTGTTTACCTCTTTTATTTGTCGGGTGAAATCATTTTGATGCCAGTTTATTTTAGGATTTCAGGGTGAACCTGTTAAGAGTCAAAGCAGCTGTGTTTGATGGTCCTCTTTTAAACTCTGAAAGTGTTTGGTCAATGGTACTTCTTTTGAAGTGCCGTGAAGAACTTGTACCTTTTGTGCTCTCAGTATGCATGTATTCATACTTAGACTCCATCTCATTGTCTGTAATGCAGCCATCAGTTGTTCTGCCGGTCCACTGGAACTAACTGGTCTATAGGCTTGACGTAATGAGCCTGTGCATGCTTGTCTACAGATATTTAGGTTGATCTTTTAACTGCTTGTGCTGCATTCAAAACCCTAATGAGATTAAGCCCTTTGCTGTCTGAACTCGGTTCGATGCGTCTGCTCCTGTGTAAATCTGAGTTTAGTGTTGGATGAAAGTGATCTAAAAAACAAAAACAAGATGTGCCGCCACATGAGAGCATATTTTTTTTATAGCAGCTGCAGTGTCTTGCTTAGGTTTAACCTAGCAAGAACAGTGTTTTAACTAAGATTGCAGAAACGACTTTATTTTTTAATACATCGCTGCTGTTTGTAGTCCTTTATGTTGAGATATTAAACTCTTAATTGTAAAAGTTACCTTCTAAAAACTAAAGATGAATAACGTTTATGAGCTCTGAAAAATAATGAAGGGGAAAAATAATGAAGGGAGCTTAAGGAAGGAGGTTCTTACTAAACCCTTCCCCGACTGATTAACACAGTATGTACATGATGTATTTCTGTCTCAAATATAAATAATACATTGTATTTCTACATATAAATAGAATAGAAAAAGAATCAGGTATAGCAGCAGGCTTAGAGTTATAAGAAAACTGCTGCATGGTGGTTTAAAATGGCTCACTCAGCTTAATAAAATCCGCAATTAAGTCAGATTAATTCAAGTGCACTAAAAAGTTCATCTAATAATGGTTCATAGACTAATGGCAGAAAGATGTGACCAATAGGATTGTAGGAAGAAATTTATTTGGTGAAATATTGTGATTTTCAGCTGACTAATATAATAGTCATCTTTCAGTTCCTGTATCGATTTGTATATGTGTGTGTGTATATGTATATATGTATATGTATATATGTGTATATATATAGATAGATAGATAGATAGATAGATAGATAGATAGATAGATAGATAGATAGATAGATAGATATTCATTCCCCCCGGACATTTTTTTGGTATGAAAAGTAGGACATGTCCAGGAAAAAGAGGAGGTCTGGTCACCTTACCAAATCAAAAATCTTGATGTTGTAATGAGTGAGTGCTTGTTGTTATGATGTGTCTTTGCTCAGCAGCATCGCTCGTTTTAAACCAACCAATCAACGCACAGCTCATCTACATAAAAGGAAGTAGACCTGTTGTTTCATTCTAGGGCTCTTAACCAGGCTTGAATGAGGGTGAATAAAACAGCAATTATGCTGTTTTCAGCCCAACCAATGTTACACACCCTATTCAGAGACCTTAAGGACCAAGTCTCACTAAATGCAGTCAGCAAAGCCTTGTAGCTAAACCAGGTCCTGGAAAAAGGACGTTCTTGCGCTGTCTCTCTCTTTCTCTCTCTCTCTCTCCAATGCATCTCCACTCCCGCGACTCGACCTGTCAATCACTCACAAAACGTCTGCACTGTGGCGGGAGGTGGGGAGCAGATACCCTTCCTGTCCCCTCTCCTACACCTTTGTATTGATTAAGATATAAAAATGTACATATTTAAATATATATATATAATATATTTTTTTTAATATAATTTACTTAGTTAGGTCCTGCATCTTAAAGCAACTGAGCTTTCAAGCAAAGTCATGACTGTCAGGTACATTTTTTTCAGTTACGTTTAAAATGACCTGAAAATGTCAGTGACAAAAAGGTCCTTATATGGACATCTCTGATAAATAGATTTATTTCCCATGATGATTGCCGTCTCCTGCAGTTTGTGTGACTTTTTAACAGCAGTTCTCACACTCTGAATAAGTGTTTCTTTGTTCATTAGCTGCACTGCTGACTAAAAGTTTGCCTGGAATTGTCCTTAGTTTGCTTTACCTTCACCTTTACTGAAAAAGCACATTCATTTCCTCTAGAACAGCCACACACGGCACATGGATACGTTCTTATCGAGTTAAATAAACTGTCCAGGCAGGCCAGCTGACGACACCCAAATGTACTAATTGATGACATCACTCCCCCACCCCATCTCAAATATGGACATTTCTTTTGTGAAATTATATATTTTAGGGGTCTAATGCATATTTCTAGATCAGAAAAAGGTGGTTTTCCCTCTTCGCGTTGCAGCAAGTTCCTGCTTTAAGTAATAGAAATCTCAGGGTCTCAGGGCTGGAGATAAACAAATCACTAAGCCAGTGGGAAGTAAGGAGGACGTCGGATCAGTCGGCTGTTGTGGAGAAAGAATCAGCCAAAACACAAAACTGGCTGGTTGGTTTTCTGGTCGGTTTACGTGCTTCCCTCACCTTTGGTCATGAAATATTTGTCCTCACCAAAATAATGAGATCTCGGAAACAAGTAGCTGGAAAAAGCTTTTTCCAACGTGGCCGGTCACTCCCTTAAGGGTTGGTTATAGTCCTGCAGCAGTGTGTCGCAGTGAGCTTGTCGTAGGTATTTTTGATTTATGCCCAATATTGAAAAGTGATCTGCGCTATGTTATTCCACGCCACAACGCAAGAGGGACAATCAGGAACTAGCAGTGGATCTAGACGGCCGAGGCAGTAAGGAATTGGGGTCAACGGAGGGACATGAGGGCGAAAAAGAGCGGGGATCCAGGTGGAAAAAGGGTCCCAGAGTTCTCACGCACCTCGCTCTTCTAGCTGGTCCATTTTCACAAGTCGTTTTACGCAATGGCAGTAATAAAAACAAAACAAGCCTGTACTGTACCAAACAGGAAATGCGGATAGTGTAGAGCGGATGTGGATTTGACCAAATTAGAGGCCTACTGTCACTGTATGTGGTCACCTACAATTTCTGAGAGATTCACCAGAGTGTCTGCAGAAGGGGCGGGGGCACATTTGCTTTTACTGCGACACACGCAGATGACCTGGTTTCTGAGTATAAATCAACCATTATTAGATGATGGGCTCTGAGGCAAGCAGCTGCTCCTCCACATTAAAAGGAGTCGGCTTAAACAGAGGCTTAGTTCTGTTTCAGATAGCCACAAGACGCCTCCACCAGGAGGTGTTCCATGCACATCATTCAGGAAGGAGGCCTGGAGGGTGGCGGCCTGGGACACACTGCAGGGTCTCTGTTTCTCAGCTGGCCTTGGAATATCTCAGGCTTCCCCCAAAGGAGCTGGGCAAGGTGTTTGGGGTGAGAGAAGTCTGGGTGTCTCTGCTGCCCCAGCAAAGAGGAGTAGGAGCATCTCAGAAGATCTCTGTTATCTTTAAAACAAACAGTTTTAAAATCTGCATTGATTATGGTAAATTACCTTTACATATATAGTGCTTTTTTAAGTCAGGCGACTTGACCAAAGCTACATTGTAGCCACTGCTGCCCTGGGGCTCGCTGACAGAAGCGAGGCTGCCATAAACTGCCCCCCATCAGTGAGCAATTTGGATGAAGTGGACACAATGAAACTGAGACCCGAGGCCTGAACTGACAACCCTACGCTTGCTGCATCAAACGCCACTACCACTACTAATCCAACTTCACTGTGCTTATCTTTTTATATTTACTTTCTATGTTTCTACATAATTGACATCCCCCACAATAACTGACGTGGTGATTGCGGCACCTGGTAGCAATCCCCATGTCCTACACTCCCCACAATAATGCTGACAGGACACTGCTGGCATAAAGCTACGCCCTGCAGCCTACAACACAATGAGGCTGCAGAATACATCCACAAAACTCTCAATCTCTTGTGCTTTAACAAAGCAATGAGCTCCAATACCTGAGGAAAAGATTCAGGGTTTTATCAAGTGCAAAATTTCTTTAGGATCAGAATAATTCCTCCTAGAAAACATCAGGATCCTGAATACAAACGAAAGGTTGGTTTTTCCAAAGAAGTGCTTCTGTAAATTGAAAAGAAAAAAGGCACAAATACATGTTTAACACATATTACCTTTACTAAAACATCTTTATAATGTATTTATCATGTGTTGTTA